TTCCACTTATTTGCATATGAAGCCACTAAGCCATAAAAACTGGCAACGTGGTGCCTCACGGCCATGCCCCCCCCTTCAGAGACGGCATGCACTCTGTCTATGGAGTGTGTACCTACATTAAATCTGAGCACCCAACTCCCACACTTCATGGCCTTTCTCTTGCCTTTCAATGTATCTCTCTGAATAAATCTGCCTTTACTCAACTGTGGCTTGCTCTTGAATACTTTCCTCCGTGAAGCCGAGGACCCACACTTGGCAGGGCTCATCCCAGGGGCTCGACTGAACCCTGGGACACGGCCCTCCCCATGCCCCGCATACGTTTTTCCTGCATCAGGACCACGGCAGTTCCCCCTTGGATCAGCCTGACTCCCATTTTTAGAGGTGTACTTTTCTTTCCCTAAATAATCCTTTAAAATCGTTCCCTACACAACACACTGTCTCCCAGCTGCAAACTTGCCTCTCAGGTAAGACAAGCGCCGAGGTCTTTTCCTTTTTCTTTTGGGGAAACAACTTTAGGACACATTTCAGTTGAAGCACTCGCAGCAATGCCCTATTTGTCTGGTAGATGAATCTATGCCACACAGAGCAGATGTGTAATGAACACATTTGAAATGTAGTTTGAAATTTGAAATTAACACACGTGAAATTAGCACGTGTGAAATGCATTATGCTACCCACTGCGTTAGTAAGTAGAATTTAGAATATCAATGTGGACACATCAGACTGTGAGATAAGTGAGATTAGTAACAGTTTTTATTGTCACTTTTGGTTTGGTCCCCTTGTTAATCCTTCCAGGTATAAGTTAACATTTTTACTTGATAGTCAGAGTCATCAAGTTTAATATCACTTCCTATATTATAATAAAATTACAGGAGGCCCTTAGGGAGAAAGGAGCTGTCGACAGAAAAAAAAAGCACAACCTAAAAGTTAAGAATTACGTTTTGTTTGGAAGAAGTTCTGAGGACTTCAGAGCCTGGAGGCAGCCTCTCAGACAGCTCTGAGGAACTGCTCCGAAGAGTTAGAGGAGGAGCCAGTATACATAAGGGCTTTTGCAACAATAACCAGGCAGCCAGAACATCAAAAGATGACTCTTCATTACAGAAAACCAGACGTTTCAAGTTAAGGGATGTAGTGCTTTCCTCTGCATGGGAAGGTGCAAGAGCCTGGGATCGCTGAAATCGTCCCTTCGCTGTGCACCTCAGCCATCGAGGGCCAGTGTCCTGCGCTTTCCCTCCTGAGTCCTCTCAGGGTGCACCCTGGGGCGTGGCTGTGGAGGCAGAGGGCTTGGCGGCGGGCAGCCTGCCCGTCTCCATCCTGAGGTCCCTCGGGGCTCACCCTCCAGGCGGCTGTAGTGGCTTGAAGTCTGCAACATCCTTTGTTTGCTGATAAGGCAGGCAAAGGGTTTTTCATTCAGAGCAAAGAAAGTGGCCTGATTTTAGAGATAATGCCTCCAGCCTTTCATGGCCATTTCTTCCATATTCACACTTCTAGTCAGCTCCAGCTTTTCAGAATTCCTCTATAACCCCGATACTCCAGTTGCTTAAATGGAATGCAATGATGATTTAAAAGATAATTTAGATAATTTACCGTGCCAATCGAGGTATCAGTCAATATTCTATGGTCTGGTTTTTAACTGTTAAATAAAACTCCTAGTGTTACCACAGTAAATTACCACGGACTTGGCTTAAAACAACGGAACTTTATTTCCTCACAATTCTCAAAACCGGAAGCCTTAAGTCAAAGTGCGGGCGGAGCCAGGCGCCCCCAGAAGACGTTAGAGAAGAATCCTTCCTCACGTCCTCGATTCTGGGAGCTCATGTCGCCCCCTGGTGGGCAGCAGCAAAATGGCAATCTCTGTCTCGGCACTTACACACCCTGCTTCCCTGTATGTCTCTGTATGTCCTTTTTTTTTTTTTTCGGTCCTGTATAAAAACGCATTCTTTGAACTTAGGGCTTACTTTAATCTCATCTTGATTTTTACCTTAATTACACCTGCAAAGATCCTGTTGACCAATAAGTTCACATTCTGAGCTTCCGGGTGGACATAGATATTTGGGGAGACGCGACTCATCCACAGCACTTACGTTATTTCACGTATGGTTTGCCTCTATTTCATTAAACACTGAAGTGCATAGAAATCAAATGATTAAATAACTGGTTTATGACTAGATTTAAAAATCTAGTGAATTGACTACAAAATTTGAATCATCACCTCTACTAGAAGCACTGAACATGGCTTTATCTGATAGATCAAATTTCTTGTGGAAATACAAGTCTTCAACAAAATGGTATTACGTGATTCATTAATTTCCTGACACTCTCTTTCACGTCTTTGTTCCTGAGGCTGTAGATCAGAGGGTTCAGCATGGGAATCACCACCGTATAAAAGGCAGAACCTACTTTGACTATGAGCCATGAGTTTCTGGAGTTGGGTACGCAATAAAGGAACAGGACCGTCCCATGGAAAATGGTGATGGCGGTCAGATGAGAGGCACAAGTGGAGAAGGCTTTCTGGCGCCCAGCAGCAGAAGGCATCTTTATAATAGTGACAAAAATGGAAATATAAGTAGTGAGGATAATTGCCAGGCTGCTCGCCTCACTGAATATGACGATGACAAAACAAAGCATCTGGCTGATGTGGGGGTCAGAGCAGGAGACAGAGACAATGGCCAAGTGCTCACAGACAAAATTATTGATAATGTTAGACCCAAAGAAGGATAATGCCAGGAGAAAATAGGTGAGTGTCAGGGAAGAGACTACCCCCCATGTATAGGGTCCGGCCACTAGTAATGCACAGAGCTTTGGGGACATGACTACTGTGTACAGTAGAGGCTTACAAATGGCCACAAATCGGTCATAGGCCATCACTGCCAACATGAAGATTTCGGCCGCTGCAAATATACAAGCGAAGAAGAATTGCAGGATGCATCCCAGGAAAGAGATGGTTCTGTCTTCCACAACCAAGTTCTCCAAGAGCTTGGGTTTGACTGTGGTGGAATAACAGAAATCAGCAAAGGACAAGTGACTAAGAAAGAAGTACATGGGGGTGTGGAGTTTGGGACTGACCCTGATGATGGTGACCATGCCCAGGTTCCCCAGCACAGTGACAGTGTAGATGACGAGGAACACCAGGAACAAGGGGACCTGGACCAGGTCAGGATATTCCGAGAAGCCCAAGGGGGTGAACGTGGCTGTGGCATTCTGATTTCCAGCTAGCATGACTGCTGTTGGAGAAAATCTGCAATAGTGATAATAAAAATAGTAACCATGACGATGACAATAGTGCACCTATATCACATTCACTGCGTTGCACACATTGTGCTCAAACTTTAAGATACGTGCATTTTGGTCTCTAAATAACACTCTGAATTGCAAAGCAAGTAACCTCGTGTTCTGAAAAAAAGAACCTGAGGCATATATAAGTTAAGGCACTTGCCTGAGGGGACACTGCTTCCTAGTGATGAATTAGCTTTTGGAGCTGATCAGGAGTGACAGATCTTGAATTAAGTTTGGGGTTAAATAGAAAACTTTTCCACAGTGTTGTAGGAAATGTGTTTTTCACAGCTCTGTCATTCTGAAGAGCTGTGATTCTTAATAGGATTAATATAAAAATGCATGTAAATTGAGAACTAGAGTCAATTTTAAAAGAACCAGGATGTTGTAAAGGCAGGAATATTTCGGTTGTTAAGTTGCTCAAATTGGAGATCATAGGAAAGGCAGAGTTTCTGAGTCACCACAAGAATTTTCAAGTTTTGAACTGACATATGGATGCTGAAGGAAATATAGTTCTGCATATCCTCAAGCTTTTTACTGATTCCAGTTTGATGCTGAAATAATTGCCTTCACGTTCTACAAACACTGAAGCAGACTGGTAAAATAATGAAGCTGTATTTATGACACGTGATACATTTACCCCAGTGTTTTCTTTCCTTTGTGTTTGTCGATTTTCTCAGTTTCACTAGTGCTCTGAACATGGCCTTCAAAATTCCTTGATCATTATCTTTTAACTTACTATTTTTAATCTGATAAATTTACTAGGAATGTTATAGCATTAAATACACACAGAATATCTGGATAGGAGAGTAACTTAAATTATGTTTTGCTCAAGTCTTCCACATTCCGTAAGTTTTCTCTATGGAGCTAGAGAACATGGTAATAAACACCAACCAACCGTACATTGTCACCCTCAAAATTTCTGGTGACAGGACCATTGATTCTGATTAAAGCTACATGTGATCTTGTTTTGAGTCATGCAATCTTTGTTATATTTGCTTACACTATTTTGAGAAAGCAAAATCATCTTGTCTTCACAAGTAGTTCATAATCCCAGAAATGTATTTAATCATTTAACAATAATTTAAAAAACAGGTTAGCAGATAACAAGCACATGTCTTAAATGTTCAGGTCAATAAGAGACTATCAGTATGACTCGCGTAAACCATTAGGTGCCATTTCAGTTTGGCCTGAGCTGGTTGAGATAGGAACTATTTTCTCCTTCATAGCCTTATGGTATTTTTGACACCCAAAAAATGTATTTTCTAAGGGAATGGGCAGGAAAGTGCAAAGAACTAATGACAGACCACATGATGAAAGAAGTGTGGGCTTGGAAACATAGATTTGATTCAGTTCCAGGCTTTGTCATTTACTGTGTGATTGCTGGTGAATTACTGGAATTTCCTGAGCCTCAATTTCTTTATCCATAGTAATGACACAATAATACATATTTCATAGCTGTGTAAGGAGAAAATTCGGAAATGATGTTAATGTACTTACTGCAGAGTCTGACAACTGTGGAGTCCAGAAGATGTAAGCTTTCCCGTTCTCATCTCTTTCAATTCTTGGTGCTATGACTAATTGGTACTATTTTTAAACCCTTAGATTATTTTTAAAAATCTAAGGAAGAGATCATGGTCCAAAATGGACAGCAACACACGTGCAGGTACAATTCAGGACACAAAAGGGCAGCTCAGCCATTTTCCCTGCCCTTCCTCGTGGCCCTGTTGATGTTAACTCACCAGGGACTGTCTTTCGATACGTTGTCTGTTTCCCCTTTGCTCTCTCATTATCACCTGACTCCTGGTGCTCTTTTCTGTCTAACCTCACGGTACCCAAGGCTCAGACAACTTCCCTGCAGGGCCGCTAGCCAGCACTGTGGGCGTGCCAATCTCTCCTTTCCTTGATGGCACTGTGGCTGCTGTGACAGTCTTTTGACTCTGAAAACTTCGACTTCTCCCCATTAACTAATTTATCAAATTTAAAGTTCTCTGCTCAGTTTATCTAAACCCTCACCCTAGCTATATTTCCCAATTTTCAAACTTTTAAAAATTATGCCAGTGTTCTCAGCTTATAATGTATAATGCATGCTCACTTATTCTTCGGCTGATTTGATTTTTCTTCTCTTTTTCCTGGAATGGCCTCTTTTTCTTGAGTATTGATGCAGCAGTTGCAATATATAAGGCATTCAGTGAAAATTACCATCCTGAACAGAAACTGTCCCTTTCACTCCAGCAGTTCCACACTCTTGGTATACCTGCAGATATCACCATCAGAAAAATTGAAAGTATATGATACATAGTGTCCACTATTACTTTATGCATGTTATTTTTATTTCTACACAATTTGGAAATGTTGAGGACATTCTCAGACATTATAATATCATTTAAAAAAATTCATTTTGGCTGTACTATGCTAGGCACATGGTGGATATTCTCAACGCAGAAGTCAGGACGACACCCCAGGGGAGGGAGAAGAGACTGAAGCTCAGCCTGCCACGTGAGCTTCAGGAAGAGGGACACAGGAGACATCATTAAGGCTGACCAAGAGTGATCCTTGCCTTAGCGGCAGGATCTTAATGCTTCCCGTATGAGTACAAGATAGATAACCCAACCTGGAACCAGCTCACCTGAAGATCCTGTTAACAGTCTCCAGGGAAGTGACCACTCAGAATTCAAACATCATGTAAAGCATTAAGAAGTTGGTCAACACAGCAGAAATCCACAAATAATGAAAATTAATGTGACTAGAATATATTTCTTTCTTGATATCCAGAAAAAAACTCAGAGAAAAGGAGAAAGAGAGAGACAAAGATTGGAAGCTGAATCTGACTCCTGTGAACAAAGTGCAGGGCTTATGTGTGACTCTGCGAGCTTGGGGGTTGAGACCCCAGAGAATATTTCCTGAACGATTGCTCTTCACATCACAAACTCAGAAATAAGATGGAACGCTCTTCCATGCAGTAATTAACAAGGATGTAGTTTCTTCTAAGTCCCTGGAGACAGTGCCTCATCTAGCTTAGCTCATGAATTCCTTTAAAAGAATTAATTATAGAAAAATACACACATTGAATTAGAAAACAAGGTGACTACAGCAAAACCCAAGAGGAAAGTTAAGTCAGCTAACACCAGCAGCCGTTCAGAGATGATTATTATTACATCTGCTACGTGATTTCTCCGTCCTTTTCTGGGCATAATGGGCACGTGTTTTGAGATGTGTAAACAACACAACTTGGGTTCCGGCTTTTTTGCTTAACATAAATAATTACTGTTGTCTTTGGAAACAGTGATCTACTTTATTGAAACTAAATGGTGTCTTCTAAATATGGGCAATCCACACTTTCAAGCTTATGTTAGCACAATTAAATAATATAATCTCTTAAAAATAGCAAATGCATTTTGGAAACATATTTAACTCAATCCACTATTTCCACTACCCCTAAATGCCACCATCTATACTTTCCCCAGGCCCCTGACTAACTCTTGCCCAACTCTACCAGGAAGCCCTAACACAACGGAGGCTGTATATCACCAGGCGTAGCGTTATGTATTGAACACAGCACAGCCTTAGTCCTGTATCCCACAGGGCTGCCTGGTTACCCTTTTGCTGGAATAGGCTTGAGTTCCACAGTGCGTCTTCCCCCATCCCCGGCACATCTGCATCCTGGACCAGCCCCGGAGCCCACTTCTGCACTCAAAGCTAGCTTCTGTTATGTCAGCTCTCTGTGCTGCGTAACAAATTACCACCAGCTTACAGGCTTACATTAATACACTTTTTTTTTTCAGTTTGGTCCAGCTTTATTCATGTAACAAAAACATTTCTGAACACATACTGTGTGCCAGGCGCTAGGTGAAGACCTGGAGAAACCCAAGGATCTGTCGCTCTGGGCTCTTGTATGTTCAGTGCCAGGTCTCAGTTCTCTCCACTGGGGCTCTTCCTCTCACCCGACTCCCTGAGAAGTGTGCGTCTCCTCTTGGCTGCTTTCCTTTTTTTTTTTTAATTGAAGTGTAATTCTTTACAATGTTGTGATAATTTCTGATGTACAGCATAGTGATTCTGTATGTTATACACATACATATATACATTCTTTTCCATTATATGCTATTACAAGATATTAAATAGAGTTCCCTGTGCTGTACAGTAGGATTTCGTTGTTCATCTATTTTAGGTATAGCAGCGTCTACAAATCCTGAACTCCCGCTTTCTCGCTCCACCCCCACCTTTCACCACCAGTAACCATAAGTTTGTTTTCTAAGTCTGTGAGTCCGTTTCTGTTTGAATACACATTCTTATATCAGAGTTTCTGTAGCATAGTAGGCGGCACGTTGCTGAGTTGTATGGGAAGAAGTTGTTGAGTGGAAGTGTTTGCAACTTTATAAGACACTGCTAAACTGTTTTCAAAGTCTTTCACCCTTTTACTTGCAGCTGAAATGCACGAGCATTCTGCTTGCCCAATAGGTCCACCGCTGATATTTGAAACTCTTACTCATTTTAGCCCTTCTGATCGACTGCAGAAGTATCTCACTCTGGTTTTAGTTCTAGTTTTAATAAGAGTTTCACTGATGACTAAGGATGCTTAGAATCTTTTCATGTGATTATAGATGACTTGGATATTTTGTTTTGTCAAATGTCTGCTCTAATATCTCACCAACTCATTAACTACATCATTTTTCTCCTTGTTTTGCATATAGAATTCCTTATGTTCTACATACAAATCCTTTATCAAACATATATATTATAAACACGTACACAGTCTGTGGTCTAGATTTTCATTTTATTAATGGTGTCATTTATTCTTAAGAAACTTTTATCACAAGTTTTTAATGGTAATAAAGTTTCTTTTTTCATTTTTTAATGATCCATCCTTTTTCTTTAATTGAAGTATAGTCGGTTTACAATGTCATGTTAATTTCTGGTGTCCGGCGTAGTGAAGTAAAACATAAAAAGGATAGATCATTATGAAGTAAAGGTAAAGACTCATTTATCCATGTGGATATCCAGTAATCTCAGCATTGGTTGTTGAAAATGATCATTTCTCTATTGAACTATCATGGCATGTTTTTTGGAAATTAAAAGACCAGATATGCTTGATTCCATTCTGGGACCCTATTATTGTAATATTTCACTGCCTTGATTACTCAAAAAAATTTAGAATAAAATTAATATATGAATTTAAGTAAGGCAAAACAATATTTAATTTTGTTTGCTACTCAGCAGGCTATAAGTTTAATGAATAAACATGAACTTCTACCATCTATTATACAATGAGTAACAAATGATTCATTACAAGCCACAGGAAGCTGAAACATTTGTCAAAACCATCTCTGGAGTATGAGTTTCCTGATCACAGTTCTGGGGGATCGTCTCAGTCCAGCATATATCGGATGAGCTGGGAATCAGTTTTGCTTTGGAAACACCCACATACAATTACACTATATATGGTAAAGCATTTTAAAATAATTTACAAGTATTTCAAAAGACAGTCAAATAATGTTGTTTCCAGTTTGTTTGTCATGTGCTTTACAACTATTCCACTAAACATTGATGTATGCTACAATCAATAATCAATAATTGATAAAATGTTGTGCTGTCATAGATAAACTAAAAGCCTGTTGATTAAAAGATTTGAATTATCTGTCCCACTATGAGAGCTGAACAATCTGTAGCATAGTAAATCATTTTTTTCAGAAGTAAAATAATGAATCTCACAATATTATCTTGAGTGACAAAGCAATTTTGTGAAAACTAATTTTCTAAAAGTGTTTTTTACGTCTTTGTTCCTAAGGCTGTAGATCAAGGGGTTCAGCATGGGGATCACCACCGTGTAAAACACAGAAGCCACTTTAACTGTGAGCCAAGAAGATTTAGGATTAGGGATACAGTGAAGAAAAAGGATGGTCCCATGGAAGATGGTGATGGCTGTCAGGTGGGAGCCACAGGTGGAGAAGGCTTTCCGGCGTCCACTTGCAGAAGGCATCCTCATAACAGTGATAAAAATGAGTATATAGGACGTCAGAATAATCATCAGACTGCTCGCCTCATTGAATACGGCAATAATAAAACATAGCATCTGACTGATATAGGGATCTGAGCAGGAGACAGAAGCGATCACAGAGTGGTCACAGATAAAGTTATTTATGATACTAGACTCACAATAGGATAATGCAAGAAGAAAATACGTAAGTGTCAGGGAACACACTATGCCCCATGAGTAAGACCCAGCCACCAGCAGAGCACAAAGACTCCGAGACATAGCCGTGGTGTAGAGCAACGGGCTACAGACTGCCACAAAACGGTCATAGGCCATTGCTGCTAACATGAACGTTTCTGTTACTCCAAATATGCAAGCAAAACAAAATCGCATAATGCAGGCAGAGACAGAGATGGTTCTGTCTTCCACAATCAAGTTCTCCAACAATTTGGGTGTTACTACAGTGGAGTAACAGAAATCTACAAAGGACAAGTGACTGAGGAAAAAGTACATGATCGTGTGGAGATTGGAGCTGATATTGACGATCAGAATCATGCCCAGGTTCCCCACCACGGTGACTGTGTAGACAGACAAGAAAACCAGGAAGAGCGGAACCCGGAGTTCCGGATATTCTGAGAAACCCAGGAGAATAAACGTGGGTATGATACTCTGATTTCCTTCCAATAACACCATGATTCCTGTTGAATAAAGAACCAAAAAGCATTCCTTAAAAACTAGAACTAAACAGACAGGAGAAACAGAGAAGAAAGAAGCTTCCTATGTCATTGTGACGTTGGTGGAGAACAGTGACTCTCCACGCATGGTCCTCAACCAGCCGCAGCAGGAGCATCTGAACGTTTGTGAGGAATGAAAACTCTCTAGCCCCATCACTGACTTCTGGAATCAGAAACTCTGGAATGGAGTCCACAATTTGTGATTTAACCAGGCCCACAGGTGACTTTGATGTATGCCAATTATGAGAACCACTGGTAGAGAAAATATACAGTAATCGTCCTATTGTTTAAAATTCAGTCCTTGTTAATATTTTAAAATAGAGCTGAAATATACATTCAGAGCACAAAAGAAACTCTAAAACTCAAGAGCAAGAAAGGTAAAACAGAAGCAGAGAGCACCTTGTTACGGGTTCGAATAATTATACTAAGGGTCAAGGAGATTGCTTGGCTTTGCAAATGGTGCCACACAAGTCTTGGTACTAATTGTTTTTATGTTTTTGATGTTTTGTAGGAATAAAGAAACATCCATAGACTGTAAGAGTTGGAATACATCTTAAATTGTATCTAGTCTATGCCTTCCATCTAATGCCTGAGAATTCATTACAGAAACTTATCCATGAAACAATGATGTAGCGTCCATCAAAACCTTCTTTTATGGTACACTGCCTCCTGGGATAATTTTGTAGGTCTTTTATTCACATTTCGTTTAACATCTATCATTCTATTAATTCCATGTAATTAATTAAAGTACATTAATTATTCATGTGGTTTCTGGTCTTCCATTCTGACATGTATTTTTAAATTATAAATATATAAATATATCATATAAATTATAGATACATACATATGTTGAGAAGCAGAACAGATGCATATTATATTCACCAACAATAATTTCATGTATGTTCTAAGATACAATGAGAATTACACATTTTCCTGACCAATAAGAAGTTAACCTTCTGTTGTTATGAGGCAGAGGGGAAGTGAGAACAGGAAGCCCGTGAAATGAGTGGCCCCAAGGCACACACACAGAGCTGCAGCAAAGGTAGTTGGATGCACTGCTTCGTGTTCTGAGCTTCGTCTGGATCACGTGTCAGACTCCAGACTGGGCTCCGTGAACGCCCGCTTAACACGCAGCGCAAACAACCCCCGACCTAAAGCCTGTGTCATCAGCCTAGTCTTTCCCGCAGCAGGTGGGCCTGGGAAGATGCACTGCAAATCTCCATTACTGCTCAGGCTGCTTCAATAAAGGAGTCCCGTCCAACATTCGAAAATGTTATCAAAACCTCGGTATATCAGGGAGATCGGTACTACTCTTCAGGTTTACTGGCACAATTTTTACGTAACAAAAGATACTCAGATAACGACGTGGAATTCAACCCTAGCAAGGTCAAATGCTTTTGGTGACAATCAGTGATTTAGGATTTGACTTGTACTCAACTTGGCCTATGGGATTTCAAAATCAACAGATATCCTATAAATCTTTTGCAACTTCTCTGTTGCTCGCGGCTGCCAGTTTCTATGATACAAAATTTGATTATCAAAGACAGTTGATGCCCAGTTAGTGAAAATTAAAATGTCTCTGAGCATAAAAAAGGGGCCATCTGTAATTTTTCAGATAATCTGTATGAGCTGGAGCTCCATCTTTTCCTTCTAAATTGAAAGATACCAAAAGAAATGTGAACTGACCTGGAACCAAGAGTTCTTGGTTACTTTACCGAGGATTTCTTTTTATGATTCATAAACCTCAGGTACTTTTCTTCTCCGTAGTCACATATTCTTTAAGATAGCCACAGGTTTGGGGCTTGTCATAAAAATAGCAGTAAATTTCAGTGAGTACGCCGGTAAACTGGCACTCTATTTCCAGGACGTAAATGTCAAGGAATACAAAGAAAATACTGAAATTGACTTCACAGTCTAAGCTGCCAAACTTTGAGCTTTATATTTGCCTCCATGACTATAAAGACATAAACTACAGAGAATTGTAATTGGAGTATTACTCAGTGGACCGCAAACCATATAATTACTTGAAACACTGTCTCTTGTGTCATTTGGCAGACGCATTTTCTTTTAAATCATTAGAGATAACGACACCATCACATCTACTCCATTGATAACCTTAATATCTTGAATTATTGAAACAATGCATATTCATTGATGTAAACATGAACTATAGAATTTGAAATAAGGAAAAAAGATCCATCTAAAAATAATTGTTAATTATTCAACTGCATTTCAAATCCCACACTCCAGTTTATAGAGTAGAGAAACGTGGCCACAACTGCCTTAAGCAAAAGATAAAGGTGACCATCACCAGTGCTGCAATGTGGATATCATTTACCTTGATATGATCTGATGAGAAAAATTCACCTCTGCGGTATTACTACCCCAAAACCCATAATCCCAGGTTAATATGAAAAAATCATTAGGCAAACCCATACATGGAAGCACTCTGCAGGACACCTCACCAGTGCTCCCTCAAATTGTCAAAGTCAAGAAAAACAAGAAGAGAGTAAAGACGTGTTACAGACCTGAGGATTTGGGGGAGACATGATATGGTATCCTGGCTTGGATCCCAGAGGAGAAAGAGGACATTAATGGAAAAACAAATTGATTAAATCCAAATGAAATGTACATTTTAGTGATCATAATGGTTCATTATTTTTAATTTTATTTGACTGTGGTAAGAACACTTAACATGAGATCTACTCTCAAGATATGTTTTAAGTGCACAGTACTTGTCCTTCTCTGACTGGCTTATTTCACTGAGCATAATGTCTTCAAGTCTCATCCATGTGGCCGCACATTGCAGAATTTCCACATTTTTGAGACTAAATTGTACTCCATTGTTTATATGTGCTACATTTTCTTTATCCATGTATCTCTTCATAGACATTCAGGTTGTTTCCACGTCTATTGTGAACAGTTCTGCAGGGAACGTGAGAAAGCCAACATCCTTGAAATCTTGATTTCAATTCTTGTGAATAATGATCCAGAAGCAGGATTACTGGTCGCATATAATTCAATTTTTAATTTTGCCGAGAATCTCCATACTGTTTTCCACAGCAGCTGAACCATTCTGCGTTCCTACCAACAGGGTACAAGAATTCCACTTTCTCCATATCCATATTCTTGCCAACACTTGCTTTTTGTATTTTTTGGTAATAGCTACCCTGATAGATGTGAGGTGAAATCTCACTATAATTTGGATTTGCATTTCCCTGATGATTAGTGACATTGAACATTTTTTTGACATATACCGATTGGCTATTTGTATATCTTCCTAGACAAAATGTCTATATCAGCTCCTTAGCTAAACATTTAATTGGGCTATTAATCTTGTTTTTACTGTTGAGTTACATGAG